GGAAACACAGGTGGTTTTTAAAGCCACTTGGTGAAAACAGAAGTTATCAATAAAGGCATTATACTTTTTTAGATTTAGCAAGAGCAGTCTTGGCAGACATCTGAAAAAAAAAAAAAAACACTTATATTTTTTATAAATGCATGTTACTTTTTGGGAGGATAATATTCACTAATTATGGATAAAATGTGGTATTTTCAGATACTTTATCAGCTGTTTCAAAATAGTCTGTTCTTTAAACTTGTAATTTTTTATAAATTATTTGTCTTTGTTTTGTCTATAAATATGTAAAAAATATTTAAATGTACTGGTTTGCTTTCACACTTAATAAAAAAATTTTTTATAGTTGTTTTGTAGTTTCTCACACTTCTCCAATCTTAAATTGAGAAAAGGTATGTATAAGACAAACTGATTCATAATTCCAGCCATGAACTGAGATCAGTGTTAACACCAATAAGCAAGATTTAATTTAGTTTTCCATCTTAGAAAATTGAGCATAAGAAGTCTTAAAGATTAATTATTATTTTTACTTAGTACCCTGAAAATCTTAGACTGGTGTGGTTATAATTGCTAATTTCCCTTGTTCTGGAGGAAATGCTAATTGACTTAACTCTTGGTATTCATACACACACACACACACACACACACCCTTGGGCATGTCACTTTCCTGCTAAAAACCCTTCCATAGGTTCCCATTGCTCTTGGTGTAAAAGCTAAAATTCTCATGTAACCAGCAAGGCCCTGAATGACAGAAAGTTGGTTTGTTTACCTTTCTCACTCTAGACCAAGCTTTGTACTCTCACCAGATTCATTCTTTCTTCTACAAAGCCTTTGCAGATAAGAAAATCAAAATCTAAAGAAGTTTGTATCTTCTTCAAGGTCACATGGATACTAAGTGGGGTAGCCACTCTAGAGCCCCAGTCACCTAGAATACTGCCTGACATGTTCGTGTTCAATAAATATTAGAGTTAATCTGTGGAATAAGTTTGTTGAATGAATTGAAGGATTTTTAAGCAGGACACGAATGTGATCAAGAGATATATTTGAAGACTGATTCTCAACTGGGGAGCAGAAGGACTTTTTCAAGTTCTATTTTCTCTTCCTCTTTTACCAGCTGCTGACAAGTAAGTATTTTTGACTTGTGGTCCATAGACAATTTACATCAGAATCACAGGCTGGGGTGGGTAGGGTGTGGCATCTAGGATCATGTGTTCAAAGTTTAAATTCCTCGTCTCAGACCTTCCAAATCAGTGTCTGAGAAGCAAGTTCTGGAATCCAAATTTTCTTCAGGTTCCCCAGGTGATTCTTCTGTGCACATGCTATAGTATGAGAATCATTTTTACTTAAGGAATCTTACTTCTACAGTTTCTAGTTTGGTTTTTCCCTCAGGTACACAGTGTGAAAGTTTTAAAAAAAAGTTTGAGATTCTGTTTTATAGCTAGAAAACTTGAGTTTGAATCCTGGATCTACCAGTTACAAACTACTTTTACTCTTTGGGCAAATGACTTAACTTCCTAGTGCCTCAGTTTCCTCATTTGTATTACATGGATACTAACAGTATATACCTCCAAATGTTGTTAAGAGGACTAAATGTGTTAATACATATAAAGTGCTTAGAATTGTAACTGGCACATAGTAAATGCTCAATAAATGCTGGCTATTTAGAAATCTTTGGGAAATAGACTAGAGAGAGAGAGAGAAGCTAGTAGTAGGGAAATGTGCCAAATTCACCCTTCTGTGCTCTGTGTTGTGTGTTCTGGGGCCAGGAGACATCTGAAATTAGTGTCTAGCTTTTTCCCCAAAGCAGCTCCATTATGCTGCCTTAGAAGCACCAGCAGTAACTAGGCAGGGCTCTTTCCTCAGAGGCCTCACTCCTAGTCCCTGTGAGACCTCTCCTCGAGGCATCCAAATTGGGATACCTCCATCTGTTCTCTGCCTCCCCCGCCCAGAGGTGGTAGCTGCTTCCTGCCGTTATCTCTGTGTTAAGTCAGTGTGTTCCTCTTTACATTTTCAAAAACATTAGCAACTGTTCAGCCAATTTCCTCTGTTCTTTCTGTTAAAAAAAACTAGTGTGGTTTCTGTTTTTCTGACGACCCTGACAGATAGAGAATATTAAGAGAAGTTATTAATAATGGTCTAGGCAAGAAGTAATGAAGGCACAGAGCGGCCTGGCAGGCCCCGGTCACTGAGCGAAGGGAGGGGACGACAAGGAGGAATCAGAGGTGGCTTTGAGGTGTTGAATGCAGTGAGTGAGGATGGCGGCGCTATTCTAGAGGTAAGGGAAAGGGGGAGAGACCAGACGATGAGTTTGGTGGTGGAGGCCTATTATTTGAGATATTTGCAGGTTATTCAGTGGAAAAGTCTAGAAGGCAGCTGGAAAGAGGCCAGAGTCATGTGCATAGATGGATGAGGTTATCACACAGGAGAGGCAGGAAAGTGAGAAGAGAATGGAAAAGGGAGTTGCTCTCCTGAAATGAGAACACGAATTCCAAAAAGAGACCGAAGGTGACAGTGCACACAAAGTAAGAGAGAGAAGGGCAGGGACTCGACCTTGCAGAGTGTGGATTTGGAGAACTGGAGGAGCAGGAGAGGCCTGGGAGGAGGTCGGGTAAGAGGATAGTCGAGAGAGTAGTGTCATGGAATTCAAGAATTTGCGTTTAGTCCCGCCTGCACTCTCTGCCGCTTCACTCAGCAAATGTCTGTTAAGTGCCTGCTATTTGTCCAGCGCTGTGAAGGCAAGCATGCCACATTCCAACGAGGAGGCAGGTGGGGATTCAAAATTTCAGTGCAGTGAGACAAGCGCCATGTTATTATATACTAGCTGTGGAAACATGGAGGTGGATTGATTCTCAGGTGGTTTAGCAAAGATTTTGCAGAGGAGATGGCATTTGACCTGTGACTTGAGTTCACCAGGAATTGTGTGAGACAGTAGAGATGGAGGGGGTTCTATCTTCCAGACATTTCAGGCAAAAAGAACAGCGTTGGCAAAATATGATGGTGTGAGGGTACTTGGCAGATTTGGAAAGCTTCAGGTCTCTGAGTAGAGGTGGAGCTTATATGGGAGAGATTGTCTAAGGCTAAGTTGAAGGGGTAAGTGTGAGGCCAATGCATGAAAGTCCTTATATGACATGCTGTTATGGACCAAACTGTAACTCTTCCCCCAATTTTATATGTTGAAGTCCTAACTTCTAGGACCTCAGAATGAGACTATTGGAGATAGGGTCTTTAAGAGGTAATTAGATTAAAATGAGATCATTCAGGTGTGCTCACACACACACACACACACACACACACACACACACACACACAGAAGGCTACGGGAAGATGCAGGGAGAAGGTGGTCCTCTACAAGCTAAGGAGCGAGGCCTCAGAAGAAGTCAACTCTGCCAACACCTTGATCTCAGACTTCAAGCCACTAGAACTGTGAAAACATCATTTCTGTTGTATAAGTCACCCAATCCATGGTGTTTTTTATGGAAGCCTAGCATACTAAAACACATACCGAAGAACAGAAATGGAGGGGTGTGTTCTAGGGACATTTTGGAGTAAGAATCCAGGAGGCTTGGAGAGTGAGGCAAGGAAGGATGAGGGAGAGGGCAAAGCTGAGGGTGACTGAAGTTTTTGGCTTCAGCCTGGAAGTCTCATGTGGGGGACTTCTTTCCGAAGGGCCAGGGGAATGTGTTGCTTTCAAAGTCAGTGCAGGTTAAAGGGGCTTGGTTTGGTTAGTTCAGTTGATGGATCACTGGTGTTATTCTGTTGACAATGATGGAATCTCTTCTAAAGCTCTGGCAAAAAAGTTAAATTAAAAATACATGATCCTATGTGCTTCCTCCTGCAGAAAATGTGAAATGTACATTTTCAGGCTGTGTTGGTGGAACTCAGTGGCTGAATTACTTCAGTGAGTGTCTGGACAAGTAAAGCATACATCAGTGTGAGAGAGAAACATTGTGAGAGAGAAATGTTGATATTACATACCCCTACCATGGATTGAACCTGCAACCTAGGTATGTGCCCTGATCAGGAATTGACCCCACAACCTTTTGATTTACGGGATGACATTCCAACCAACTGAGCCACACCAGCCAGGGCTGTAGTTTCTCTTTGAAAGTGAAATGGGACACAACCTCTGCTAACTGTTTTTTCTTTCTGACCCATTCTATTAATGCCAATCAAATGCAGAAAATAACCAGGTGTAATTGCATTTTAAGTATCAAAAAATAAATAGGTAAGTAAGTAAAAAAGCCTGTCAGGGCCCTTGCCCATGACAACATGTAAGCAGCCTGAATAACTGCTCATTTTAAAGAAAGCATTCTTAGGACTTGAGCACAGAAAACCCATGGTTTAGTTGCATGCTTCATGACTTTTATCAATAAATATTTGTTTTCATTTACTCTAAATAATTCAGAATTGCATGGTGGTGGGAGAAAAGCTTTGGTCATTAAAAGGGGATGCTGGAGAAAAGACACACTTGAGCTACAGGGAACTTGCTGAGGAGGCAGAGAGACATTTTTAATTGGCTGCATTTCATTCATGAGGCTGGCAATTTGATGTAAGGGAAGTTTTAAGAAAATTGCTAAACCCTCAGGAATTGTGCCAGAATAAAAGAAAATCATCCTCATATCATTTATGACACAGATGCCAACGCTGCATTTCATTCCTTTTCTGAGTTTTCACAAAATGTGTAACATTGCAAAGCCTGTGATGGGACAAAAGGATCTCCTCTTCAGCAGTTTTATTAGTTTTGATTTTCCTTTTCAAATCTGCTGTCGAGTTGCCTGTTTCCTCCGGGACCCCCGTTTTCTTCTCCGTTAGCTGTGACTACAGGGGAGTGCAGCTGACAGACTCTGGAAGACTACTTTTCTTTGGCCTGTGCTTCCTCCTCCTCACTCCTTCCCCAGTTGGCACCAAAATTTATTCTATTCTTTGCAGCTAGTTTTGTGAGCTATCTCTCTATTTTTAAAACTTCCCTCTATTTGAAAGAAAAGACCCTGAGACATTGAAGGTACTGATAAAGCATTTATTGCCTCTCCCATCCGAGGTAGCGTAAATAATAAAATACTTGTTACAGATTAAACTCTTAATAATTTTCTTCCAAAGGTCTCTTCTAACTTTGTGTAAAGACTATGGTTACTTCTGAAGAGAAATATTGTCCAGCTACCAACCAAAGGATGTTTGGGGAAGGGCATCCATCTGGACAGGATCACTTGGGAAATGTTTTAGGCTGATGAAAGACCCGAGAACTGGTACACTTTTCACTCTTTCTTTTCCACTTGTTGTGTGAGGCCTCCAAACCCAATACCTGTTGGGCCAAAATTTTTGGCATAGCAAACTGTGAACGAAAATGGGGGAGAGAATGGGTTGGTTAGCACCATTGTTTCAGTTACTTGTCTGGATACAGTCCTTTCACCTGTGAGAAGCATCCTTTTGGTATATGTATTTATAAGATAATTTGTAAGTTAATTGAACACTTTATATTAGATCTAATAAAAATTGCTTATACTTCTTTGCACTTCACTGTATTCATAGACATTTTCTCATTTGAGTCGACACAGTCTGCCTGCCCAGCCCTGTCCCCCGTTGCCTCCTGCCTCTCCAGGCACGTAGATCGATGCCCCAACTTTGGGGCCTTTGCACTCACTGCTTCCTGTTCCTGGAATGCCCCCTCCCAAACCCACATTCATCCTTTAAGACCCAGAGGATGCTTGTGCGCTAAGAAGCCTTTTCTAACACCCCATGCTGATCACTGGCCTCTTTGTATGTTACCACATTGTGTGCAGTCTGCTACTGGAGCTTTTTTACACTTGCTAATGCAGTTAGTTGTCTCCCTGTTGATCTCCCTGCTGCTTAAAGCAACATTTTCTGGTTTTATGTCCTATGAATGCTGAGGACACTTTTGTGTCCTCTGCTGCCAGGAGAAGGCAATCATTGTGTCTCATCATGGGAAAAGCACTGGCAACCTACAGTCTTGATTAGTAATGTCCTCCCTCTGGCCCCCCTCTCGGTGTTCCCCTCACACAACTCCAACACACACACTTAGAGATCTTGAGACACCATCATTAAATGAAAGGGTGGGTGGGCCTAGGAGAGGCTCTGAGGTGGAGGATGCGTTGCCTTGGCCCTAATGCATCTGTTCCCTTTGGCAGCATCAGGATAGAGTGAAGCCTCTACTACCTCTCCACGAGACCAAGGGATCGTAGAGGCAGCTAGGGGCAGAGCTGTGAGGACCACAAGGAAAACCCGGTTGTCGGTTCTGTCTGTTAGTAAAGTGATGTGCAACATCAGCAGCGGTGACGTCAGGAAGGAAGGAGAAAGAGAGCAATGGAGGGAAGGAGG